TGTGGCCGGTGTTCCTGAATATTTGAATGGCTGCCTCCGCCACCTTGTCGTCTTCCATTCTGAGGCACTGTAGGAGAGATTCGTATGTCTCTGCGGAGTGGAACGAGGTAGGATGTGTGAAAGACAAAACCTATGGATACATATCAAACCAAAAAACAGTTTAATAAAAGCAAACCTGGTTATCTGAAAGAGCGGCAAGGTATATACATCTAGACCAGGGGTGGTCCCCCTAGGGGCCATTTTGAGAAAATGAGACTGTAGTGTGGAGGACCAAACCAACAGGGCCAGAAATGTGTGTAAGCATGCACCCACACAAATAAAAGAAATCCACGTGGGCCGGACAGGACAGGCAAAGCCCCGGAGGTGGCCCAGAGGCTATAAGATGCCCAGGTCTGATCTAGACAAGCTATAATTTCTTCTCTGAGCAGCTCATTTTAAGCATAAGAGAAAAAAACAATGTAAGGCAATGAAATTGTCTAAATTTTTTTTTGAAGATTTTGTTCTTAATGTGATTTTTTTTTCTTGACCTAGGCAAACATTAAGAGCCGTGGTGGGGCAGTGGTTAGAAGGCAGTATGGCAGGCTAACTCTGCTCATATTGCCAGGAGTTTGATTTCCTCAATCCTGACCAGCTCAAGTTTGACTCGGCTTTCCATCCTTCCGAGTTCGGTAAAATGGGGACCCCGATTGTTGGGGGGAACAGGCTGACTCTGTAAACCGCTTAGAGAGGGCTGTAAAGCACTGTGGAGCGGTATATAAGTCTAAGTGCTATTGCTATACCTTCCTTCCTTCCTTCCGCCATGTGGCACAGAGGTTAGAACGCAGTATTGCAGGCTAACTCTGCCGACTGCCAGCAGTTCGATCCTGACCGGCTCAAGGTTGACTCAGCCTTCCACCCTTCTGAGGTCGGTAAAATGAGGACCCAGATTGTTGGAGGGAAGATGCTGACTCTGTAAACTGCTTAGAGAGGGCTGTGAAGCACGGTGAAGCGGTATATAAGTCTAAGTGCTATTACTATTCCTTCCTTCCCTTCCCTTCCTTCCCTTCCTTTCCTTCCTTCCTTCCTGTCCGCCACGGTGGCGCAGTGGTTAGAACGCAGTATTGCAGGCTAACTCTGCCGACTGCCAGCAGTTCGATCCTGACCGGCTCAAGGTTGACTCAGCCTTCCACCCTTCTGAGGTCGGTAAATGAGGACCCAGATTGTTGGAGGGAAGATGCTGACTCTGTAAACTGCTTAGAGAGGGCTGTGAAGCACGGTGAAGCGATATATAAGTCTAAGTGCTATTGCTATTAGTTTGTCTCAACAGTTGCATTATTTATAATAATAATAATAATGATAAAGTTGGAAGGGACCTTGGAGGTCTTCTAGTCCAACCCCCTGCTCAGGCAGGAAACCCTAGACCATTTCAGACAAATGGCTGTCCAGTCTCTTCTTAAAAACTTCCAGTGTTGGAGCATTCACCGCTTCTGGAGGCAGGTGGTTCCACTGGTTAATTTTTCCCACTGTCAGGAAGTTTCTCCTTAGTTCTAGGTTGCTTCTCTCCTTGGTATTTCCTCTCTTTTCCCCTTGGTATTTACTGTCTCGCGTTTAAATTAATACAATTTCTGGAAAAAGAGTTTTAAAATATTGGGGGGGGGGGGGAAAAACCCATTGATTTTTGGCCGAAAATGTTCTGGAATGGCTTCTGCTCCGGTCATTTCATATGTGATAACTAGCTGGGAGATGGAACGTGGAGTACCTTGAGAAGTTCAAGCCCCGAACGAATTGCTGTGTCAGGAGTTACACCCTCCTCTTCGTCATCGGCCGTCCCTTCTATCGATTTATTCATCAGCTTTACTAATGCACTAAAACAAGACATTTCAAAATACACGCGTGCTCAGTCACAGGAAGAACCGCTGCCGGTATGTTTCATACAGTCAATCTATTCCTTTTTTTCCCCCTCCGTTTATTTAGCAAACTCAACGTTCTCATTCTTGTCCAACCAGATTGTTTTTCACAATTCTTTAGATCAGGGACCGTAATGGAGTCTGACCCTCACGGCTGTTAAGTCAGGATGGCCGTAATTAGGGGTACCCGCACGACTGCAGGACACCGAAAACAGCTGAGCCAAGCGCCGGAAATGCAGCCACGTGACCGCCCCCCCCAAGGGAGACGGTCGTAACTTCGAGCAGTTACTAAATGTCCGTTCATAACTTTGAGAGCTATCTGTATTCAATGCAGCCGAAGGCTTGCTATTTTTTTTTTTTAATATATTTTTTTAAAAGCCGTGTTGTGAAAAATCGCAACATGTATTGGGCTCACCTGATAGCTTCTGAGTCAATGTGCACTGGAGCAATTCTTTCTAAAAGAAATTTCACCATCTCTAAGAAAGGGTTGGTCGGTTGTTTAGGATTGGCAAGCTTCCGAGCTATTTCCCTCTGCAAACAGGAAGTAAGGTTTTAAGTCATTCGATAAGAAGACAAAGGCGCTCACACCATATGCTGAATAGAAACAGGTTGTTTTTTTTTTAAATCTTACTACTCTCATAGCACACACAGAAAATAATTAAAATATTGATAGCAGAGACGAAAAGGAGATTCCGATCTAAGCCGCCTGCAGCTTGAAGCAAAATGGAATATAATGTGAACAAATAAAACACAGGCAGTCCTCGCCTCACAAGGGTTTGTTTAGTGACCGCTCCAAGATACAACGGCACTGACACAAGGGACTTCACACCATTTTTCACACTTACAAAACTTGCAGCGTCCCCGTGGATCACGGGATCCAAAATTCAGATGCTTGGCCTTTATGACTCGTTAATTACGACTTTTGCAGTGGGATCCCCTTTTGTGACCGTCTGACAAACAACCTCAAATCAATCTTTATTGTCAAAGTACAACATGTGTACAATGAGGGAAGTCAGATTCACTTAACAAAACCACATCACAAGCTTAACAAACTGCAGCGATTCCCTTCATCGACGTGGCAAGGAAAGTCGTGAAACGAGGCAAAATTCTTTTAAAACAAATTTCTCACTTCGCAACATAACATTTTGGGCTCAACCGGGGATTGTAAGAGACCTGTAGTCTCTCTTGATTCAAAGTGGTCTCCTTCAGGACTCCACTGATATTCCCAACTTGGATTTTTTTTTTGAGTTCAGCGAGGATCAACAAGGTGCTTCATCAACCGTGACTTTTTTTTTTTTTTAAAGTATGTTTTATTAATTTTTTAACATAATCACCTTAATGTTCGGTAAGCAGTGCGTTGTCTGGGTTTACATTTAAAAAAACAATCACTAACAGTTAATTTCTATAATCTGTAATCCACAGGATCACTTTGCTTGATTTCCTCTTTTCCCCATAATGTTCTCTTTCACCAACCTTAAGTTAATACAATTCTCGTTGTTTTAATGAATGACAATCTATATAAATAAAAATGTAAATGTGTTTGTTCAAAATCTTAAATCTCCGAAAGTTCTTCACCGGTTGCTTTGAAATTTTGACACAACGTTGCATTCGAATACGCGCGTGTTTTTATATACCTATATTATATAGATGTCACACCTGTGACAGGTAAAAACATGCTTTTTTTGAAAAACAGCGCCATCTGTTGGACGTAAAAGCAACACACGCTTTTACCAGACTGAGCCACAGCAACGCGTGGCCGGGTACAGCTAGTTGAGTATAAAAGTTTTCTAATTATTTCTACAAATAATAATCACATCAATATAATATTCCTTTTCTATCTAGTCATTCTGATTGTCTCATCGTAGATCCTGTTTACAGTTCTTGTTTACGTTTGTTTTTCCCCCACAATGTTCTAAAC